ACCCAATCATAGAGATCTGTGATCAAGCCAGTATTGGGTAAAATATTAGAGAGAGGCAGTCTTGGGCGGCACTGCAATGTGCTATCTCCGGGTTTAGTAACGATGGATGTGATCTGTTGCCATCAGTGTGCAACTTCCTGTTTTCCTTTTGGATGGAAAGTTACAAAGCTAGCTAAATGCTAGTATTTCTTAAAGACTAGAAGGGGAGCTCTAATCATTCTGCAGGCATCAAATGAACCAGAAATGTTATCCAACAAGGCACATAATTATGAGAACAAAATACACAAAGCTGAGGCAGCTCAACAGTTTCATGCTTCACTGAGTACTTGGCAGGGAAAGCTGTGCTGCAAGTTATACTGTTGGAACACATATGCTTCTGACAGTAATGTACAATTTTGTAACACTATGCTGAAATAATTAATAGAAAATTATAAAGAAATGTAACAACAGTACAAGCAATTAGCTGTTTAAAGGTTTGTCAGGTTTGTCAGAACTGTCTGTCCTAAGACACCTGAGCATGAGAGATTTAGGCAATGTTTATTTTTTTTGTGCGCGTTTTTGCATGTTTTATGATGTGTTTTCAGGCTTCAGCATATTTGTTTTAGCCAATGGAAAGCTAGTTACTAGGAGGGTTAGGCGTGAAATCTTATGAAAACACATGTTGCATAAAAAGAAAAGCTTATGTACTTTTTTGAGCGACAGACATGTGCAAGCGGCATCTGTTCAGGTCACATGTGGGGGGGAGGGAAATGTTTGCAGTGTGCCTGCCGGCCCTTTCCAGCCAAAGCTTCCCAGGTTGCTAAAAGCTGGATGGGGAAATGTGTAAGGACCATACACATCTCTCTGCCCAGCTTTTAGCACCCTGGGGGCTCTGGCCAGCGTTATGCCCAGCTTCTGGAAACCAGTGCTGTAACTGGTTGCCAGGAGCTGGGCGGGATGTCAGCCAGAGCCTCCCAGGTTGCTAAGGGCCTGTAGAGGGTGACGTCACCAGCACCACTCTTCCCTCCACTCCAGCCCACCTGCAGCAAACACC